TACCGTAATATTTTTTGATCAAACAATTTCTCTCTTTCAATATTTTATTTCGATTCATCGTTGAAACAAAACAGCCAAGTTTCAACAAGGAGAAAATATCGCGAGATAACGATCAACAAGCCTCATGATCCAGAATCACGTGGCCCGTGTTATTATCAAACTGTTCTCTCGATAATGTTACTCCATTGTAACTTTCCTAACATTATAATGATTGTACCGAACGTACAATCTCCGCCCACGATTTACCATTTGCCACAATCTACCTGTCAGATAGTTGTTCCGTGCCCGAGATCCACCGACGTCAAATGGAAAGAAGTTTTATTCAGTCTCCCGATCAAACAGCAGCAACGATTTATCGCTGTTCCAGGGCTTAATTGACTACCCACGCTTCGGCAATATACCCGATACCATTTCAATGTCTCTGACAAACGATCGTTGCTTGTTTTAACGGAGTGAAAAATATTAAGTGAAAAACTTGTTGCGAAATTAATCGGTTGATGAGAGTTTAATCATGATGAATCGTTTGTACTCTCGTTCTTCCTCCGTTATTATTTTTATTTTATTTCCTTCTAATTTTCTAAAAGCGAAAATTGTAAGAGATCTTACATTTAAATAAAAATCGAATGATTAAAATACATTTTATAATTAATCGATATTTGCAATTTTAATAACTCTTAGAGAAGCATACGTTGGAACACATCAATATAGGCAAGAATTATTCAGTTTTAAAAATTCTACATTTTCTTTTCATTCTTTTTATCAGTATCTATCTTTGGTTCCATTCCTCGTCATCAAAATTGTTCGATATTTTCGAAAAATTATTTCTAAAAAGAAATACTCGTCATCGATTTAAAGAATAATTAAATTTCCTTAACCCTCGATTGACCTTTATCACAATCATCTTCCATTGCCATATAATTATACCACGAAGGATCATCTAATACCATGACCAACGTATCGTGTCTATTATTATTATCATATTATGAGCACCGTAATTAACATAAAAGCTGGCTGTTTAACCCGTGCAACGTAGAAGCGAGTCGTTTTCACGGTTGTAGAAGTCGTGACCAAGATTTTTGCCACTTTTGTTTCAACAGTACATGGTAATATATCCACGTTGCCCGAGTGACAAATTATCTGGTGGCGACTTCCTAGACGTTATCTCGGGTTAAAACAAGACGCGCCACCGATCCTTGGATACCGAGGCGTGGATGTGGATTACGTGCTTTCCATATCCAGTTGAAGAGAGCGTGAAGGATGAGTGAAAATCTCATTGGTCGGTTAAGTTTCGAATCCATACGGAAAATTTATGACGTTGAGTTTTAAAATGCTCCTCGATTACGTTTTTTTTTTTTCTTTGCTGTCGTCATGGTATTTCTGACTTTGTTCTCCACGATTTTTGTATTTGATCATCTTTGGTATTAAGTTTTAAGATTTATGAAATTATGTTCTTGGCTAGTTGGAATGTTGTATGGAAATGGAAAGTTGCGAATTTTAGGAAAGAATAGAAAATAAAAATATAATTCTTTTTATCTTGATTTTCCCCCATATAAGTTGTATCTATTCATTTAATTAAAATAGAATAATTAGAAGGTATATAAGTTTCAAAAAGTTTCTTTCACTTGAAATATCAAGCACTCGATCTTTCAATATTTTTCACATTTAAAACTCGATAAACAGTCACATTAAATCCTCCGTTTTCACAATGATATTATTCTTGAATGAAACGTATATTTTACAAGCATATGTGACATAATGATACTATCTTAAATCACCATCTTAAATCGTGATTTCACAACGATGCGATAAATTAACGCAACGCAATTTTGAAAGTGAAAAAGAATGGAAGGAAAAAAAAAAATAACGATAAAGAAAACGCGGGAAAAAAGAAAAGAAGAAATATATATTTTTTTTTTCCAACGCGCACCTAGCAATTTGCAAATTACCGCCATGAATGAATTTCATGGTATAATTTCCAACCAACGTGGTCCGTTGCATTGCAATTTAGTCGTTAAGATAAATCGAGTAACGATCGTATTAGTTAGATATCGTTGAACATCCCTTGGAAAAAAAAGGAGCACATTTGTCATAAATAGCGAAAAATATTTCGACTTATTCACGATTGATATCGTAATATCGTTGAAAATGAGCATTGGAAGAATGGAAATGTCACGGGATCGTTGGTACACTTGTCCATGAATTAATCGATAACATACCTAAGTAATTAACTCACGATCGATTGATCGATAACGGGCTCATCCCTGAGACGATTTCACAATTCACACCGGGGAAAGGTTAAAACGATCCATAGGATAATTACACGTTTTATAACGTGAGCAAAGAAAAATGAGTTATCCCCATTAAATAAATTAATACACCTTCCAGTGCCGTTACCGAGATGAAGATAACAAGGCGAGATAACTCGAGGAACGTTTCTCGAACCGTTCTTTCCTTTCTTCTTCTTCTTCTCCTTCTTCTTCTTCTCCATTCAAAACGATACCTTCTGACATTTGATATGATTTTTCTAATCAGTGAAATAGAAAACGTTTCGAAGAGGAAAATTCCTTTCTTCTTCTTCTCCAGTCAAATTCTCAAGTTTTGAAAAAAGAAAGAGTGGCGTTCCTTCCTTTCCGTTTTTATCTAGTTAATTTTTTCCCCTATATAATATCTATACATGTATATGTATACTCTATAAGAAAACAATCGCGTTGAATAATTGATCAAAGTATCGAATAATTTCTCAAATTACAAAATCGAGATGGTGAAAGTTAGAAAGTAAGGAAATGCACACACTAATTTTTGTTTCTTTTATATCGATTATAAAATATAGTAACATAGGCAAGTGTAATTGCTTCAAATGTAATTCTTTTAAACCTACAAAATTGTACCGGCGAGGTCCGATCAACGTGCCGCTTACCGTTGCACGATTTTCTACCGCTTCATTCTCCGGATTACGATTTATAAGCGCGGAACAAATCCACGTCGACCTATTTGGTCTGCGTAGAAATTTATTACCCGTTTGACCCGGCCCGATCGAGACGTCGTTGTGGATTGATCTGCTTGACAACTTGTTTGCACTCTCTTCCTCTCTCCCTTCCTCTTTCGCCTTCTGCCTTCCCTTTTCTTCTCGAACGCTAGGCAAAACCATAACTTGTGTCGAAAAACACAACAGAAAAATGATTCTTTGCGCGATACCATGGTAAAATAAATTTCTTTCGGATTTGTTTGGATATTGAAACTATTGGAGCTTGAGAGAAATTGAAGCAATGAAAAAAACAATGAAGAAATTAAACTTTTCATATATTGTCTAATAAATCCTATATATTATCTAATTCTTAGAACGAGGAGGGGTTGAAATTATGAATATCTCGATAAAAATTGCGAGCAAAATTCTTACGTTCGCAAGAATTAAAAAAAGAAAAGAAAAGGGGGAACACCTGTATATCAACCTGTATTTCACCCGATCCACCCAAAAATCTTGAAGAGAGTTTAACTTTTTATGCATAAAACCCGTACATTATATATGAAAGAAGAGAAGAAAAAAGAAATGGTGTACGTTATGTCGTATTACAATATTTTTCAACGAGAATTTTTCGAGGTTATCGAGATTTAAAACTAGTGTTCGTTCTAAACTGCCATAAACCATAGGTGTAGCTCATGATCGAGGGAAGCAACGATGAAGAGTTTCGAGTTATAAGTTGACCATCGATTCGCCTTGTAATAACACGGCTTTGTCCGGACCCCGCGGCCCTATATTAAGCATTCCAGAGCAACGATGCAATAATGCGGGACTATCGGATGCATAGAAACGAAAACGGGACGGAGGCACGGCGAATTTAAAATATTTCGCGGAGAATATTGCCCTGATATCATGGTTGTACATATACACACACAGGAGAGGGAGGGAAGGGAGGGAGAATAAGGTAATTTCGGAAGAAGCTTCGGTTTCGGTATTCCTTCCTTCCTTCCTTCCTTCCTTCCTTCCCGGCCACTCGTTAAACCGAGTCTTTGACCTTTCACGGTAATTTTAACGTTATTATCTCTTTCATCAACCGAAAATCAAATTAATTGAGAAATATTTTACGTGGAAACGTAATAATTTATCGCTCTTGCCGATTTAGAGAGGGAGATAGTTGTTGCAATAATATCGAAAAGTATTTTATTTCGTTAATTCGTTGTGATCCATCATTTATTATATTTAAATTATTATTACTAGAATACATGTTCATCTTCTTTATGCATGGATCATTTCTTTCATTTTTGTCGTAAAATCGATCAATCTTGATCGTTGATTTGATTCAAATAGTTCTTTTTTAATTATAAATAATATGAAAGTTTTTGGAGAAAAATCACTTATTCAATAGGAAGCGAATAATACAATTTTATTCGCTATCTTATTTATTTACATCTTATTTAATAACATTAAACTCATTCGTACGAGAACGAAAGTTGAAGGCGATGATAATGAGCATTATTTAGCATTATATCACACCTATATCTACCCATACGAGTTTTCTACATCCTTTATCATTATATCTTATTTCAATATTCGTTGCGAGAAAAACAACATTAATGAGAAAACAAGAAATGATAACTTATTATCAGCGAGCAAAGTCGATCAACAAAATTATACGTGGCTTGTCGCCATTCGAGCCAAAAAAACATACATACACACATTTACATTTAAATTTATAATATCCTGAATAACGGCCGCTAAACACGCGGAGCGACAATTAAACACCCGATCCAAATTGCAATCTCCGTCCATTTACAATTTCGCAAACACGGCCACGAATTTCTTATAAACAAGTATATATATCCCACCCTACACACGCATCCGTTTTTAATCGCGTAACATTCGTTAACCACATTCGAGCCGAATTCGAATTCACCTGGCCCGGTAAATTAAAACGGGCCACTTTCTCGTCCACTCGCCCCGTGGTTATAATTGATTCCCAATCGGTGAAATGCATAACCCACCGACCGCATGCGTGTTGCAGACATGAAACCATCGGACAGGAGCGAGAAGGCGATGCTGACCGGGAACGCGCAGCCTTCGGACGTGTTCTGTTCGGTTCCAGGACGATTATCGTTACTAAGCAGCACCAGCAAGTACAAAGTTACGGTAGCCGAGGTACAAAGACGACTATCGCCACCGGAATGCTTGAACGCGAGCCTCCTCGGCGGAGTCTTACGGAGGTAAGAGATATTACACGCGCCACCATCACCCTGCCTCTCGGTCTCACACCGTCTCTCCTCTCGTTTTGCATAATGCGATTCTATAAGGGGATTAACCCTCCCTCCGTTCAGATCCCAGTTGTTTGTCTGAAAATTATCGTCGTAAAATCGGTCGCGTTTCCCGCCAGCTTCCGTTTTAAACGATGCTGCTTCGATCTCTTTATGATCTTTGTTCAAGGTAGAATGTTTGAAATGTGTCCAACAATTCTATCTATCCTTTTATAAGCTTTCGTGAACGAAGTTGTATATCTTTAAATAAGTAGTGAGTAAATTTATTTTCATTGATAATAATTAGAGGTATTATTATTTTTGTATTTTTGTGATGAGAAAGGAGAATGCGATAAAAATTATGGGAATAAATATCAAGGAATATTATCTGAGGATCAATTTGTTGGAATTCCATTGATCCTCGCGTATTTTTGTATTCGATAAATTTATTCCGATAATGTTACTACTATCCAAAATGATCTTTATTAATTCCTCGACGACCACTGCTTCCGCGAACGTGGAATCATTGACTCGCACCACTGATTCAACTGCGTCCGTTAATATCTCGTGCATCAAAAGCGACGAAGACGAACAACTCTCTATTATCGTTTATTACCACTATCTTCCGCACACCTTCCATTCAAATCTCGCCTCGGATCTCCTCTTCTTCTCCCCGTGTTTCCTCCGTGTCGAGAAAAAATCGTTCGCGCATGCACTTACGAGCCCAAGTGTGCAGGGATTTCACGTGCGTGAGATACATCCGGGCGTAGGTATACAGTGATTTATCCACGCCTTTGGTGATAAAGCATTGCGCAACGGATAATGTTCTGACCGAGTAAAATGGTGAATCAGATAAAGAACGGCTCTTCCCGCTTCCAAGAGGGATAACTCATAAATCAGCACGCTGTCCGTGCTCGAATAAAGCGAATGCGCGTTTATTAATTAACTGGATAGATAAAACCGAGTAACGGTATCGTTCCATTTCGATTATACACCATATATACAAGCCAATATTTCTACAAAAAATAGAAGAGTTTTAGTCGTGGTAACGTCGTGTTTTGCATCTTGTTTCTACAAATTGCTTTATTTTTATTTTTGAATGGAATATCAAGTGATACGAAATAATTTGAGCGAAGATTAATTAAGTTATGATCTGTTATTAAAGAATAAGTAAAAGTGTATTAGTTCGTCAATTGGTATCACCAAGAAAAAACTTCAGATTTACAATTGCCTCCTTCCATAAAGTTCCTCGAGATGCGAAGCACAATTCTGGAATTTTTCAAACGTATTTTGATGTATATGTTGAAAGAAAATATTGGAAACAACGAAACACACCGCGAATGCGTTCATAAAGCATAATAGATGGCATTGTCCCGTGGATCGAAGCAACGAGAATTCCACGAGCAGTGGGAGGAAAAAGGAGAACGGTGAATAAACTGCCAATAAAGCGGCCGATCTATCCCCGATGCAAATGAGACATTAATAATTGCATAGCTTCGAGTGTCAATTCCTGGTTGCGCGATCGGCCCTCGGGCTGGCAGCGCGCATTCGATGCAACACACCGCAGACCGCGACGATATAATTCATCCATTCGAATAGCGATCCGGCCGATAATTACACGCGCCCGGTTCTCTTGCCACCATAGATTTCTACCGTGCCCATCTGCCTTCCTTTTGTCTCTCTCTCTCTCTCTCTCTCTCTCTCTCCTATCCTCTTCCCTTCCCATTCTTCCTTCACCACTCCGCGATCTTCTACCTCCGCGGTGTGATGAATCAATGTTTATCGATCGACACGGTGATTTTGCTCGGTGCAATCCGAGATATTTCGTGTTTTTTCGAGGCAATCCCCTTTCGAATCGAGACGAAAATTAAAATTGCAACTTCCCCCGATGTTAGGGGGAAGGAGGGAGTTTGGATATTTTATTAACCATCGAGGCGCGCGATGAAATTCGATTTCTGAGCGAGTGCACGCCTTCTCGATCGGCTGACGATTTCGTGGCGGAATTGAGAGAAGAATGCTTTTAGGACGTAGAGGGTATTGGTTCGTTTCGATATAAATAAGACTTGGGGTGCTACCCTTATTTCGGTGGATATTGGTGGATATTCGTTCGGAGGGAATAATTGTTGATGATTCTTGATGAAAGTATGATGGTTTAGTTAATAGGTGGAAGTATAGAATTTTTATGTATTGATGATTCGATGATGAAGCGGTGATTAAAATTTGTACGTGAAGTTAATATTGGATCGGGCGAACTTATGCAGTTTTTAAAAATTGAGAATTTTTCTGTATTTCTATTTATATTCTACTCAAAGATAAGAAGTTTGCATGTCATAAGCCAGAACCGCAATTGATATACGTTAATAATTCTTTACAACGTTGGAACGTCATTACTTCTTTTCTCGTTTAAATTGCAAACAATTACGCCTGAAAACGGTTATACCACCGGTGTGTTTTACAATGATCTTGTAAATGTTTGTTGAAATGATGCAGAAAAAATTTTACACGTTCCCCAACTGAGAAACACGCGTACGTTTTTTCAATCGTAAAAGCCGATTCGAACGTATGTTTTATTCATAATTTCACGTTTCATTTTCATATCTATCCGTTCTCACAATCGGTTAACGACTTTGAGAAATTACCATCGAGCAATTTTCCATTGTAATCTCTCTACTTTAACGCGAAACACAGACAATAAGACATATTAACGTCATGTCGTTATTATTGTTTCACCGACCTAAAAAAAAAAAAATCCTCAGCAACTTACGACTGTTAAGCAATAAGCGTATTAAACGCATTAAACAAATGTAGCAATAAGAAACAAATAAAATTCTATTTTACGAGCAGATAATTTTTACTTGCTATTTCTCTAGTTTCCTCTCGGACATTTACCGAAAATTTTCGCGATAAAACATTCACGCTCTATGTAAAATATAATTTGAAAAAGTATTTGTATTCTTCTCCGTATGAAAATCGAAAATTTAGAAACAGACAACTTTTTATTGAATTCTGATTTAAAAAAGAAGTCATAAATGTTAATTTGTTCTTCGAGTCTAGGAATCCTGATCAAAACTTCGAGAAAAAAAGATGTATTTCTCGTGAAATATGGAGAATTCTTCGTTGAAAACATTATCGCCTTTTTTATCAAAGAAAAAAGAAAGAAATTAATTCAAGTAGATGACGCGAATGATAATAGTTGGATCGAAATTATGCTATTCGCAGATGGTTATTTGATGACATCGTAAATTTTCTTTTACCACTCTTTCGTTTATCTATTTCTTCTACTTTCTTTCGAGTTGCGTTGCATCTTTATGGCCAAACGAAGGTTTACGATCGACAGTTATATTACATTGCAAAAGATCCTCGAGATACGATTGTTTCTACAGCAGAATAAGCAGGATAATTTAAGCATCGTCGATCGTTCGAAAAAAAAGAAAAACGATCGTTGTTCACCTGTCGACAGTATCACCTATCGTCTTCTTCTTTATCTAGATCTTTTTTCACTTTGGTTGAAACGTGATAATCGCTGAATTTATTGCGAATTTTCGAAAGAAAAAAAAAGAAAAAATATCACGAGATATACAGAGGCGAGTGAAATTGAATCATTTGAAAGACGCTTGCGAAACGTGAAATTGCTCGGTGTAATTTATAATCTTGGATAATTAGTTGCCGCGTACTATGATCTTTAGAGATGTAATAATTATGAATAATTAAATATCCATGAAACGATCGTATCGTATTATAACTACTGGCAGTAAATTATTTCGAAGTTAAATATTATGAAATAATAACGTTCATTAAGAGAGAAATAATTCAGAATGAAAAGTGAAATTCATTTTTAAATTCACTCGCTTCTAGAATCTTGTCTTATTAAAATAATCGAGAGGGATTTTTATTTGAAATAAAAAAAAGAAACAACAATAGAATCTCTTTTAATTCGAAAGAAAAAAAATAATAACAGCTTCAACAATTTTCTTTTCCATTCCAAAAATTTTCCATCCTCGATCATTGATTTATCAACGGCGATCGAGATTTTAACGATTAATGTCACTAGTCGAGGACATCTCTCGAGTAATCAGGGGTGATTTCTGAAGTTCATATCGAGGGGGAGGATCGAGTGGAGAAGGGTGTGAAGACTTGTAGAAATCTCTAGGAGGGGGGGAGATACAGTTCGTTGAAGAAGGCGAGAATCCTTCTCGGGACAAGACTGTGTAATGAATGAAGAATTGCTCTCGTCACGTACAAAGGAATCGCTTCGATAATAAATATGTATATGGAGATACCGTCGTTGAATTCATTCCTTCGGCGTGAAACGCTCGAAGATGAATCGAACAAGTGGAAGGACACCGAGTTGCGTAAACTTCTTCTCGTATTAAACGGGAATGGGTAAATGTCCTGGCACGATAATAATATAATTATGCAACTTGTACAGGATAATCGCGTGTTAATGTGACGAGGAAATTATATATAAGAATATATATTTTTATCGGACATCAATTATTCGTGATGAGAAGAAGGTGTAATACGTGTTTTGAGAAAAAGAAATAAGTGTATCGCGTTAATGATGAGTAAAATTTGAATATGTAAAAAATATACACATGCATGACATACAAAATGACATAAAATCTAAAGTATAGTGCGCACAGAATATTATACAGATATAAAATTATATAACGAAAATATAAGAAGAAAGAATACGAAAGATTTCGTGAAATCTAATCCAGCAAAAGGATATAAAATATAAAAATGTCACGTATCCAAAACGAGAACAACAAATCAGAAAGTAAAAATCTCGAATTCTCTCGTTGAAATTCAATCAAATCTTTCAGTTCGACAATGAAACGTCAAAAGAGAAACGTTCGATGCAGCACAAGTTTATCGTTGACAGTAAAACGTTATCTGATCCCCCAAATTATAAATTCGTTCACAAATTATCGAAAGAATTTCTCTCCTCTGAATCACACTATGTATCTATTCTAATTTTGTCAATTGAGGATTATATTTTATATGACAATAAAATTACAATGATAAAGAACTTATTTACAACAAGAAGAAATCAATCTTTTTATCAAAATGTGAATACATTCTTGAAAAGTCAAATTAAAACAAAAGAAGCTGATTTATTTATTAACTCATAAGCAATTTAAGTTTCCATTAAATGAAGATATCACAAATCTCAATTGCTTACAATTTAATAAACAATAGAAATTTTTATATACAAACTTTTGTACTTGTTTTAAAATTGATCCTCCCCCAATATTTCGTATACATTACTATTATCATAAATAACGAATAAAAATTATTTATTTAATACGTCTTAATATCATAATAATGATAAAAGAAAAATTTTATTGCCATATAATGAAGAAAGCATCGAAGTGTTTGCTTAGCATCTCCATGATGTTACGTGGAAGAATCACGAGGCCGCATTTCGAGGAGGCGTAGATCCTTTCGGCAGATATATTAAAAACTCATAGCGGTAAAGTGTATTAATTGCCGAGCGAAGCGAAAGATTACCGGATGAACCGGCTACTCGAGACCAACAAAGGTAGCCGATGTGTATAAGTACGTATTACCGTTATGTCGGTCCACGAATGATGGATGAATAGGGTGTGTTAAGAAGCGCTATCGAATTCTCGACCATCTTCCGCGAAATAACCTCGAGAGCTTGTGAAAGATTTAGGATGTTCTCCGTTTCTCCGTTGTCATCCTTTTTCTTTTTTTTTTTTTTTAAATATTTTTGATCTATTCGCTCGAAAAATGTTTAAATCCTTTTCTCAAATGAATATTATTAACATGAATATTCAATGTCAATATTCGATTTAGGTTGTTGAAGAAGTTCAAGGAATTTTTGTGTAATATGAATTATACATGTACATATTTAAGATGTAATGGGATTAGAATGAGAGTCGAAAAGACTCGTGAATTGTAATATATCGTATATCTTGTCGAAAGTTGAAACCATATTTGACATTGATTTTACCTTCGAGGAATTTTAGATTCATTATGCTTATGTTTTTAGAAGAGATTCCTAATTTTGGGAAAGAGAATCTTCCAAGAATTTGCATAGTAATTTATTACTTTAATCTCGAAGTTAGGAAATTTAAAAAAGATCGACGAATAATCTTTCCATTTTTCGAAATTATTAACTCTTTAATGATTCCCTTAATCAAAAAATAATATCATTTTCAAAAGTTTCTACGAAGATTCAAAAAAGAATAATTTATGTCAATGATAGTATAATCGATGTGAAAGAAAGTAATGTAAAAAATATATAGCGTATGATTAATTTTTTATCTCGAATTCAATAATATGTGGAACACTTTATTCTTTTATGCAACACGTGCAACACCTTTGAAAGTATCTTGTCAGCCATCGACTCGTAAAGTTACTCAATCGATGGATGACACGCGTACGGATTATGCTAATTCTTTCGTTTCTCTGTCTCCCTTCCTCCCTCGGATACTAATCGATTTTTTTTCTCTTCCCTCAAAGATCAGAAATGATTAATGGGGCAATTTCGTTTCGTAATTTCTGCGCTTCAAACTAGAACGAGTCTTAGTTTGAAGCGCGCGTTTCGAACACTTTACTGTATTTAAACGCAAAGTGAACAAAGGAAATTGAAAAATAGAATTTCATTTCAATGAATTTGCATGAACAGATACGTTGAATGCAACGTATTGTATTTTAGAATATATAACGAGATGATTTGACTTTTTATAAGTTTTTTAAAAAAATGTACACGTGTACATTTTTTATTCTATCATTGTAAATTTATTATTGTATAATACATACGTACCATTTTATCTTTTCATTTTCGTATTCCATGAGATAACAGAATTCTATCGAATAATAAATTATAGTTTTTGTTTCATGAAAATGAAGAATGACAAAATTATTTGCTTCACTATTTTAACTTCATTTTGTAGTTTATATTCATCCTTTTTTTTTTTTCTTTTTTAATACATTCAATTTCTTGAATCATTATATTAATCCTTATGTCAATATCTACGTTTTTTAAATATTATTCAACTTCTGATTTTTATAATAATCTTTTAAATATTTTAAATATTAATATAAGGATTACGATAATTATATTATATAGCTCTTTTATTAAAAGTGCTATATGTTATTATAATAAAAGTCTGCATTTGCAAATGCAAAACTGATTGCATTTTTTTTCTTATATTTCGTAGAGCGAAATCCAAAAATGGCGGACGTCTGCTTAGGGAAAAATTGGAAAAAATTGGGCTGAATTTGCCAGCAGGAAGAAGGAAGGCTGCCAATGTTACGCTCTTAACATCCTTAGTGGAAGGTAAGTTGCAATAATATATTAAATATTAAACGATAACACGATAAAATTTATTATAAATATCATATAATAATATTTTTTTCGCCCTGATAATAATTTTAGAAAAAATTAAAATTTAAATCACTATGTCGCGATAATGGAACGAGTTATTATTAAAATGTATATTTAAAATTATTAAAAAATATTATAAAATTAATTGCATCTAAATTATTTTTAAATTTCATTTAAATCGATAGATTCATTGATTTAATTCACTTTCTTTCTTTCTTATAAGTAATTTTTTCGTTAGAACTTCAATATGATTTATTATACCAGAGGATTAAAAAAATTCAGCAAAGGTGAAAAATCTACATATGAATCTGACTATTTAATTACTTTAATTTATACAGTACGTTAGATCAAAGGCGAGAAAATATTTGCATTTACGTAAATACTGATCAATAGCTTAAGACTATACCATCATGTTATTATGTTAATATCAATATTACGATGTCAATATGATTAAATCGATTTAAACCACTGTCGAACGTGAATTAACGAAATTAATATTAATTTTTACTACTTTAAATGAAATACACATATTGCAAAATATATCTATTACGCAGTTTATCCTGAATTTAAAATCGAACATTTTAAATCAATCACTTTTATATTAATTATCCCAATTCTATTCTAACGATCTAAATTTCAATCCTTCCCAATCGTTACATGATCCATTCATATATTCAACTAATATTTATCTATTTAAAAAAATAAAAAAATAAATTATAAAAGAATTTCTTAAAATACAATAAAAGTTTTCCGTTCTCTATCTATCATTACCGATCATAATCATTATTACCATAGGTAATATTATGTTTCGATCCATCATCATCATCATCTCTTAGATAGATCATCGAAATTATTTCAACGAAATTGTTCGCATAAGCAGAGCGACATTAAATACTTTTTAATGACAATCAAAGCATGCCCACGAACAACCAATACGAGGCACGATCAAGACAGTTAATTAGAACCATTCCTATAGGATATTCACTATTAACCACGCTCTTAATAACACACGTTCACATAACGAGATTCAACGTATAAAGGTCGATCCACCCTGACGAACCTCTAATGACTCAACTGGCGAATTGTTAGAGTGTTAGTGCAGACGTTGATTATAATTTATGGTCGATGGGCTGGTATAAAACACCGACTCGATTTTTCTTTCTTTCTTTCTACCGCTGACATATCGCGAAAGAACGGTCGCAGCACGCGTGTATAATAGTCACAATATATTTTAATAAGTCGGTTCGTCGAGATTCGCGGGGTATAATGCTAAGTTAAGATGCGTGAAATACGAATAAGAATAATTTTATCGAGCATTAAGTTGACGATTATAAATATTTCAATTAAATGCAATGATTGTATCCAATATTGATGATAACACGATAACACGAAAATCAGTTTTCATTGAATTTTTTAGGAAGAATATTATGATGAAGTATTATTTTTGATAATTGATTTCTTTTTTTAAGTTCTAAGTGAAAAAACTTCAAGCTACGAAATATATCTAATACATGATTTAAGATTTAGGAATTGATGATAGTTAGATATCAGTTTCTCAGGAAAACTTCATCAATGATGAATAGTGAAATATTTTCAGTAAGAAATTCAGATTAAAAAAAATACATCTGTAATGTTACTTCATCTTATAACGAATAATGAAATATTTGCATAATTTGAGATTTAGAAATTGAATTTGATATACCAATCTAATTGTAAGATTTAAATCCAATCTAATTTTCCAAATCTTCTGTGAAAATTTCACTCTACGATGAACATAAAAACTTCCAATAAAAAATTCAAGATTCTTTCTTAACAAAACTTATCTTCCCTCTCATAATTATAAATTAAAGATTAAAGAAAAAAAAATCAAGATTTCTTTTAATAAAATCCATCTTCTTTTTCGTAATTATCCCACAATGTAAATCAACCCGTTCATTATTCAATTTGCAACGAATACAATTGGATCGCGCTATAAACGCAACGAAACACATTTCACTTCTCTGAGCACCTCGTTCCAAAATGCCTAAATACTCGCCTAAGCTATATACTCGAACAATAAATTTCAGCTTTGTTTCAATATATTGTCAACGATATAATCTCGTTGTTACGAAGAAAACGAGGAACACACGTAACTTCTTAATAACGCATAAACAGAATCAATTCTGTGAAATGGCTAAACCATATCTCGAGCTATCCTGTCTACCAATCTAATTAACTATCTGGAATACAGGTTTTCAAACTAGTTTCGACGGACATTTAGAATCTTCATTTCGTTTCGAAGACGGAAGTTAATCTCGAAGATATTCTATTCGAATAACCGTTTCGCGTTCTATGCTTGGTCTGATACTGATTTTCTTCCTTTCTATTCTTTCTTTCTTTTTTTAATCGTGTATACAATATAAGAAGGAATAGCGAGCACAACAAATATTAGTTAGGACACTCTATCATATTCGCAATTATCGATGCTTATTTGAATAACTGGATATAAATATATACATATATATATATATAGAAGGCGGTGTGGTTGAATCTAAAATCTAATTATGTGTTGCGTAACCGTGCAGATTTGTAGCAGCGAGGAGGAATACCACTTGTTAATTGGAATTCGCTCCTCGGCTCTTTCACGGTCCATGAATCGTCGGGACAGAATGTTGGATGCATCGATTCGTTGCATTTTCGTATCTGGTTATTGACTTTTAATCATTTCGAACCGATTTCTATTCTTCTATTTGCGGTACAGCGGTGGAATGATGATACACGATTTATCAGTTTGCGAGATTACCTTTGTTCGAAGTTTGTATAGATATAAATAACCTTTTCTGAGAACGAAAGGCATAACAATTTGGAGAGCGTGGTTTTGGAAAAAAGAGGGAGAATATAGAATATTGATTAACTTTTCGAAAAATTATTTTCGTTTTTTTAAATACACTACAGTTTTTACAGAAAACCATTACTTTCGAGATATGGAAAATATTTTTTAACTCTTTTCATTCCTGAACTATCGATGATTTCATAGAAAAGAAACATTAACTCTCTTGATTGCCTAATAAAACAATTACTGAAATACGATTTCACTTGTTCGTAACGGAAAATAAATTACGCGTGAAGTTTTACAATATGATCGATAGACGATCGATCGAAATCGTGAAGAATTTCGCCAACGAAAATCTTATCTTCGTGCATCGTGGAGATAAATATAAATTCGAAATTACAATAAGACAACTATATGCAATCGATCAATCTGAAATATACGCACACTTTTGTTAAATTTTAGAACAGTGCTCGAGGAAAGTCAAATTCGTCGAATGATATAATATTTCGAAATACCCACGTGTGTCTAACAGATACGTGCGGGTACAACACGCATGATAGCCGTTGAAAGAGGTGGTGGTGGTGTGCAGCGAAAGTGTGGGAACCTCCTCTCGAAGGAGGACGTAAACGCGCCAGGTGTATAGGTATACTTTGGCCGTGTACGATTAACGTATACCTGTGCGTGATTCATGCGTAAATTCGTGTCTGGTTGCCGTGCATGTGACGCAACATCTCGGTTGTGTACGCATGACGAAAGCTCGTTTCTGCTCTTGTCTCCGCCTTACTCATCGCGATTACTTACGATAAATTCCAACAATGTTATTTTCCCCGATTTTAGATAAATATAATCGAACATCTAACGTTATTTAAAATTAAAATTCGTAATTTCACGATTTCGAGCAATTTTTAATATCATTGATCCATATCAATCTTTGAAATCTCGAACCAAGACATGATCAATTTTAAATTCTCCTCCTAAATTTTACAAATCTTAAATCTTTCTCCTGAAATGAAAGTTTACTATGTTCGAATAAAATTGAAAATTTACAACGTTTTCTTTTCTTTTTTTTTTTTTTTTACAGCACAAGCTCCTCAATTCCTCGCTTTAAACGATTCCATATTAAAAATCATTGACAAAAATATTCGAAGAAGAAAAATATTCGAGTCATTACCATGTGTACATAACCGACGGTATAAATATGAAATCAGAACACCGTGTATATACACATCGACGCGTCTACATATTTTCTGTGTATCGATCGCAATCGGGTGGGTTTCGACACACCGGTGAAACCGCAAGCATACTCAAAGCTATCTGAACACCGGTGTCTCGAGATACACGGAAGAGGATCCCCTCCCCCCTCCCCGAAATCCTTCCCCAGATTTCGATTATCGAGACACATTACAGCCGAGCATAATTTGCGGTCGCTCTCAAAGATTGATCATCCAGGGTAGACTTATCGATTATACGAACATCCATCGAATGCCATCCATCGACACCGTTTACCGTTCCTCGACACCGCCGTCGTAAAAATTCAGGACGAGCGTAAAAAAGAAAAAAAGAAAAGAACACACCAGAGAATACCGAATGAGATAATTATGTAATTTAACGAAGAAACGACGTGTTTAAATATATATAAATACTAAGGGGAAGTAACGATTCGCGTTCGAATTTTTTCTTCTTTCATATATTCTTTCGTCATTCTTATTAAGAAACTATCGAAATCTTTCTTAAGTAAGGTTAATAATTCGTATGATTTTCGTTTCTTTCTTGATTCTAAGAAAATTTAATGAATAATGAATAATTATTATCCATTCGCTATCTCGTAGAAATATTTTACATAACTAGAGATGAATTATTCTCTTCTCTGTTTTACAAGTAGTATTTATAATGTACAATATGATCGTTTTAATTTTAAAAAAAATTGGTGATATCATCTGTTTTATCGTTACATTATTTCCTTCAAAACGCATCGTAGATACACACGTTAGAAAATTATTTCTCGATGCATGTAAAAAAAAAAAAAAGAAAAAAAGGAAAAATTCGATCAGCAATTATGCGTTATCGATACATAGAAATAAATTAAGTAATCATGTTAATAGTTAAAAACTCGTTTTCATATTATCTGTTACCAATCGCTTGAAAAATATCCAATGTTTCAAAGGAGAACAATCTATCGTAATGATAATCTATGATAAAGACGTGCAACGAGACAACTCAATGCAATGCAGATGAGGACCACAGATTGGTCGAAGGTGATTGCAGATGCGAATTGCAGATTGGTACACGTGAATACTCGGGAGAGAACGAATCAGCAACGTGACTCGTGAATTAACGATTATTTTTTTCGCTTGATGACTTTACTATGTACGTCATTCGTTCAATCGAAAAATCAACGTGATATAATAATGAAAAATATAAATATCAATCTTCATTTTAAAACTAATCCAAGATGCTTCTGAATTAAATGGAGCATAATTGAAATAGAAACTAAGATAATAATTCAAAGTAAACAGAATATACGCAGAAATGTTTTATCTTTATTTCCTCTCAAAATATTTCGAAAATTATTAAATATTCAAAATGATGATCTCCAGATCTCGAAGACAAGTATACAAGCTGACCAATAATTGAGCATTTGTAACATTTTTCACTATTCCCCCATTGCAATTAATTTAAGTCCACTTTTATATTAATTTTATAATTTATAAATTAATTTATAAATATTTTATAAATTAATTTTATACAAAAATTATAATTTACATCTAAAATTGTAAGAAAGCAATGTGATGTACAATAAATTCATAGATCTCTAAAAACTGTGCGATATTTTCTCTGAAATATCGAATCAACAGTTATTACGTGCAATCGCGTAACATCTGCATATATCTTCTGATCTAAACGTCGCAATAAATACGCACACCGCCTCGCAACAATACCTCCAACTGAGAAGACACGACAGATCAAAGGGCAACTTATATAAAAGATTTTCATAAGAAAAGTTCTATTACCGCGTCCCATAAAAAGGAACGATCTTAACGATCTCTTAACGATATCCCGATTAACTAATCCCACGTGTGCACAACGCATACAACGTGTACACGTAAAAAACTCGCGGATCTCGGCCTACGAAACGTGACAGAAATATCAATTCATGTTAAAAGGAAATTAAAAGAAGTTATGAAACGAACGCGACGCGTTACGAGCTCGTATGCAAATCAGCAGTACATCGTGGACGGTACTAAAAGCTAGTTGGAACGACCTGTTGCACTTTGTACGTGCATCGTGCAGAAACTAGCGCGACTTGCGTTCACGATTAGATCGTCGATAGTCGGTTGTTGGTGACACGCGTTTAATTCTCGGCCTCGCTCGGAGACGACCGATCCTCCTTTCGAGTTTACACGGCTTGTGCACAGTTGTAAACTATGCTTTTACAACGGTGGCCACCGACAATGAGGGGATTATTACATCGGATATTTTATCGGGGGGGGAAAGCAAAGAGAAAAAAATCGTTGCCAAAGCGAATCGTAGAATCTTCTATCTGCGGAAACATTAATTAATATTTCGAGTTCGATGGTATACGTTTTGTTCAAATGCGAAACTATCGATTCCGTGGATTTGTAAGATTTTATAAGAAAGGATGGTTATATTGAAAAGGAGTTGTAAATGTTGACAATGGAGTTTACGATGAGAAATTTTTTTCTCATCGTGTTATTTTAGGTGTTTTATTATTTCTTATTGGTTTAGAAAGTTTTATTGCAACGATATGCAAAAAGTAATATATGGTTAGAATAATTTATTGCTGATATTCCTTTTTTCCTTCTTCTTTTTTTTTTTTTNTTTTTTTTTTTTTTTTTATTTGAAGAAGAAATAAGAGGAAATTTTTCTTTTGAATTTGGCAACAATCGATGGGAGAAATGCAATTTGAGGAATTACGCGTCGTAATTGTGATTGATATCGAGACGCAAAAAAGTATCGCGAGGGATTATGTAAATTATTATCGATTGCGAAACAGTTTTGCAAGATTTTCGATTCGTTTGTTTCGAGCAATTCGCGCCGTTGCAATTTACATTAGACATAGGAAATATATGTATAAACATTCTTAAACTATTGCCTCTTCCAGCATTAAATAATAATTTCTCCTATACAATTTACGTAACGCGATATAGAGAATTAATATTGGATATAATATAACATTATACGAAATTGAATTATGAAATATCAACGATAACTGATCACAAAGTAGCAATGCAATCGAAGAAACATTTTAAACTATCCCCGTGAAAAGAAGAAAGCGAACTGAAAAAAATAAAATATACGAATTAAACGAATTAAATCTAACAATTGAAAAGCTTCCAATTTTTGAATCCTCGAACTCCTTATCCTCGAACCGATCGATCGAATTGAAAATTCCAAATACCGAGCCACTTTCGAAAATTTTCGAGCTTAAGAAGAGGGAATGCAATTATAAATCAGGATAATTTTGCATACTTTTCACCCGCGCGAAAAAGGAAGAAACGGTGGAGTCCGCGAAATTGGATAATTCGTTAACTGCGGATGGCTCTCGGGACCGTGTTCTCGATCTCTCGTAAGGACGAAACCCGGCAGGCCTGCGGGTGGTTTTGCTCGGTTGTCGATAATAGAGCCCAGCGGGCTCGCTTCCATCTTGCACGAGACCCTGCTTGTAGGTACCTAATTACCTGCCATCATCGGGAGAGGGAGAGAAAGGGGTGCGGGGGACAGAGACAGTAAGAGGGAGTAAGAGAGAAATGGTGACGGATGAAGGGGAATTGTTCCGAAAGGGGAGAAACGGACCACGTGCTCGAGAGAAAGCACGTATGCTGTTTCATTATCGTAAATTAGTTCCTCCGCTAGAGAACAATCTTGTAACTTGGCACGCGCGAAATGGCTAAGGTTGTTTTAACCCATAAGAACGGATTTCTAGCGTTGGATCTTTCGATTGATGAAAAATTTGCACGTTGAGAGATTGTACGTATATATTAAATTTAATAATTCATTAATGATGATGATGATGATGATGTTATTTTGTAATAAAAATAAAATGTATTTGAGAATAATAGTAATGAATAATTTTCTACGATCGAGGATGTAATAAATTAAAAGATGACGACGGTATAAATTTTCTCAATCAATTAACAATATGTATTAACTTTCGGTTCGGTTAAAAATGGTTCGTTTTACGTAAGGTATCGTTATTCGGAGGAATCTAGAGTGTTTAAAATAACCCATAAAATGAAAGAAGTATATAAAGAAAATACGTTAATACGTACGAGATAATTTTAATGGATGAAAAGAGATAAAAAGAATTTGTATACAAATTCTCGTCCCATTGAATCGTAAATGAGCGATAAAAAAGTTCACGCATTTCGATATGATGGGTTGCGTAATTGAAGTTATCCCATAACAAGTTCATTTTATTCTCCTTTCATTTATTTTATTTTATTTTTATTTTTTTCCTTTCTTTCTCTTTCCAGGAGAAGCCATTCACCTTGCCAGAGACTTCGGCTACGTATGCGAAACCGAATTCCCTGCGAAACAAGTTGCCGAATACCTCAGTCGGCAGCATTGCGAACCGCAAGATTCCTACAGGAGAAAAGAACTTCTTCATGCCACCAAGTAAGAATTTATTTCCATGGATGGACAATGGCGAGAGATATCGAGATAATTCGTATTTCTCGTTAATTATGAAATATATATGGGGAGCTCGAATATATAGATATCGAGTTTAATCGAAATTGAGATTTAAAATCTGAGATTTCCTCTTTCAGACAAATCACCAAAGAGCTGATGGATCTTTTGAATCAAGACAGATCGCCACTTTGCAACACACGGCCGCAACACATCCTCGATCCAAGCATACAGAGACACCTAACACATTTCTCTCTCATATCACACGGATTCGGAAGCCCTGCAATCGTAGCCGCTCTTACGGCAATACAGGTACTGCCATCTATATTTCTAAACTTGAAATTAAATTTTTTTAATAAGAACGAAAGATGTCGCTTAATAAAAATAGTAATCAATTTTCTAACTATTTTTTTTTTTTTCGCAATTCAATCACGATCTACAGGTTGCGAATCGTTGCTACGATATAATCCAAAGTAAAAAATAGAGCAAAATTCATGAATTCCTCCGCGTTAACCGATTAATTCGAAATTATTCGTTACAGAAGTTCCTAAGCGAATCCCTGAATCATCTGGAGAAGATGTATCCAGGCAACGGAAGCGGCGTGACAAGTAGTCAGCAGTCGAGCCTCGACACGAACAAGAGCAAGGACGGCACGTTGATGAACGACATGAAGAAGTGACGCCCAGATGACCCGCCTACCTCCAACGTGGTCACTTCAATTAGGCACTCCTGGCCGTACAACTGAGCTTTCGCGAGCTTTCTCTTTTTCTCTATCCTAATCGCGAACAGCTTCTGATGGACCACTGAGACGACACGTATGTCCGCGCTCCACCCACGAGCTCCGTTGTAATAATCAAAAAAAAAAAAANNNAAAAAAAAAAAAAAAAAAAAGAAAAAAAGAAAAAAAAGAAAGAAATCGAAAAAAAAGAAAGAAAGAAAGTGGGGAGAAAATGTAGTGAAAGAAATACAGGGAGGAGAGATCTATTCTATTCTCGAGAATGTCTACGTGCTCGCGGATATCCGTGTTCGCTGAGGTTGGCTGGTCGAAAGTGTTCTAGGTAAATGAATGACAAAGAAGTCACGAGAAATGTGCAATCTCTGTTAGTCGATTAAATCGAACGAGAGCCTCGTGGTGAGCCTCGCTCAACAAGAAGAGACAAGATCGAGTCGAAACGATCGGCAATGGGATAATAAACGAGATATTGCTATGCTTCGTTCCCTCTTGGTTCGACGACAGTCAGGAAACAAATGAACGATGCTACGTGTATCGAAGGAACCACACGCGAGATTCGCGTTTATCAACAACGAGAATGTGCTCTCGATTAAGAGTGATTGTTATCGATTTGTTCTTTCCACTGCCTGTTTCAATTCAGTTTGATAACGCGCCTGTGCCCGAGGAGAAGAAGGAACGTATCGATCGATTCGACGGGATCTATACGATCGTCGTGGCGCGCAAAAGATCGACAAATTTCATTCGCGTCTTCCCCCGCTTGCTTTTCTCGCGGTACGTTTTCTATCACGTGCGATCGTTTCGAGAAACGATCCCCGAAATATTTATACGCGCGTTGCGTATCACTTGTGATAGTTCTTTTTTTTTTTAGTGATAGTTCCAAACGTTTGTGCAATCGATTTTAAAACGGTGATTTTTACAAATTTCACGATGTAATAATTGTATAATAGGGAAATATAATGGGAACACGATGTAAAATTCGAACGATGGCTAAGAAATTCAAGAAATCTATATATATATATATAAAACGGGAGAAATACGGAAAGATATGTTTCGTATTCGAATGCCTTGATCTTTGTGTCCCCCTCTTTGTAACTCGAATCGATCGATAATCGAGAGCGCGCACAGAGGTAACAGCGACGAAAACAGCAGTTCTGACAGCAACATTTTATTTTCTCTTCGTATAATTTTTCGACTATTTATATATTGCTCAAGCATCTGCTACTCTTTGCTCATTACCGAGCGTCCGACATACGCGCAGTAAGTATCGATTACGACGCTGTGTACGTAAGCATTAATATTGTCAGCATAGTGATATATTGCTCTCTATATCGCGTACAATTTATAATTTAACGATTTTACAAACGATTGTAAATCGGTTTGCGTCTTATGGACCACACTTCTGTCTATGATTGACCGAGTCCATCACGCGTGGAATAATTTAACATTTAAAATATGAACGCGATATACAACGATCGTTCCATATTCATGTTCGCTTCGTCTTTGAAGTTGTATGTTTTCTCGTAAACATAAATGAACATTACGTTATTTTTTTTAAATATAATCTTACGATTTTATCATCGAAAAAAAATATCGATATCCATGATTTGACATAAAACTTCTAATTGTGGACTCGGTCATTAAATTATGTTTTATATCATTATATTATTATATCTTTTTAATCTCTCGTTAGAATATCTGCGAATCAATTATCCATTGAGAATGTAAGAGCATACGATCTCGATCGCATCGTGCGAGATTAAAAAAAAAAAAGAAAAAAAAAAAGGGGTCACAACGAACAAACGAGAAAGAAAAAAAAAGTGAGAATTCACACGTGCAACAGCCGTCCGAGGCTTAAAAAAAAAAAAAAAAGAAAAGTATTAATTTAGAATCTTTATCTTTATTAAATAGACGAGCAAGTTTTATTTGAATCAAAATAACGAGGGACGATGAACGATATCAATTCCAATAATCGTTTGTTCATCGCAATGATCGATTGTTATAATCAGATTCATCACGACGACACCGAATTTTCGAACGATTCCGTGGTAGCGAATTAGGAATTTACGATACGTAATAGTTTTCCATATGCTCGAATTTCGATCGAGTTCGATTCACGATTCATTCCACGTAATAAAAAGATTTTCTTCTCGAATAGCTGGAATAGTTGATGACACACCGTGCGAATTACGCTCTCCAAGCACTTTCTATTAGCGATTCGATCAGTTGAACAATGATTTCAATCGAGAATCTTTTATGATCACCGTTATGCTTAAAGTTGCAATTCTCGGACAATATTTCGATGCTTTGTTATTACGCTCGATTGTTCCATTTCGTGTAATGTAATGTTTCATAGATTTGTAGCATAAATTCAATATAATATCACGGTATGACGGATAGATCGAATAAACGAGTGACATATGTAATTTCGAAATCGTTATTGAACAACGTCGATTGAGTTATCTTCGTTCGTGCCGCGTTAATACGTTACATGGATTCATCTAATCGTTAATCTCAAAAATTTAACCGTCGAAAGCGAATTTAACGACGAAATTTTTAATTACATATTTTACTTCTTGTTACTATTTCTCTAAAAATTTTGTTCACATACAGCGTGTGTGCGATCATCGGTGTCAACAAATTGAGAAAAAGAGAGAGAAAAAAAAAAAAGGAAAAAGAAGACAAAAACTCTAAGGATCATTTTAATCGTGCCAATACGAAAGTTGCCATTTGAGATGTGCCAATTAACGATATCGAGTTTAGAAATGTAAGATCTATCGACGATTAGAAGCGAGTAGCCGAAAATATCTAAATCGGACGAACATCGTTCGAATTTTAGAAAATACGTTTCGAACTTTTATTTCGTGAGAATCGCGAAAGAAAATATCGTGAGAGAAAAAAAGAGATCTCGATCAAATGGTATCGAGGTTACTCGAAAAGTTTCGTGTAAGGAGGGGAAAAGATAGGGAGAACAAATGCAGAGTGGAAGCACGAGAAATTGCGTTGAAGTACAATACCAGGTGAACCTGAGACATATCTAACTTTGTAATTAAATCTTAGGCGTATGTAAATGTAAGATTAAGAAACCTGATCGAACGTCTCGCGTTCCGGGATATTATGTACAGAGTATTTGAATCTTTCTTGTGATATAATCGTAATATTACTAAGGCATAAACCGAACAAGGCAAGAACGAAAGGAAGGAAAAAAAAAAAAAAAAAAAAAAAAAAAAAGACACTAAAATTACTATTATCATTCCATGTTTTTTCATAGGTACTAGCGCGGTTGTAGATGGCGCCACACACCAGACTTTTCGTTTACCGGAGACGCGCACCATCGAACTTTATTCGAAGCAACCAAACGCTAGTTACGAATAGTTATCAAAGTTTTATCGCGTCGACAAATTTTATTTGCAACGATGAACACGTCATTTTTTCCCCTTACGACGTTGCGTACTACTTTGACCGCAATTTTCTTCAATGAAAAAAAATTAAGAAGCAGAAAAAAAAAGTTATGAAAAAATAGGAAAACATTTTTCCTCGAGTATCGAGACCAACGCCGTGAGTTTAGTTAGAAAATGAAAATGAAAAGAGACGGTAAAAAGTTAGAGAAAAAAGACAGAGAAAAATCCTTGAATCCCCTTATTTTCATTCACGAATACTTAGGCGACTTGTTAGAACGTAAGGTCCCGTAAATTAATACTTATTTATAATCCTTAGAGCGACCGTAGAAAAACGTTTTTCTACCAGAATTTCTGTGCCAACTGCAAAGAATGTTGTAGACCATTTTTGTTCGAAGTTGAAGCATCATTCTAATCTTGTAAGATACTCAGATATATCTTTATTAAATATATTTGAATTTCGTAGTATATTATATTCTGATATTGATTATACAGTTCATTTTTGTATATTGGTGTGTGATAAATAAATAAGAATATTGTTTCTAAGCAATTTATACACTTATGTTCAGTATAATCCTATTTAATCATTTAAAGTGGGTTTTAATGATTTAACATTTTAAGCCAAGAATTTGTGATAATGAATTTTTAAAAAAATTACAAAATATTTTATCTATTTAAAAAAAAAAAACTAGAAATGAACAATTATTTTGTTTTTGTAAAAAAAAATAAATATTTAATAATAATCGACAAAGTAATATGATATTAAGAAAACATAATTATAAATAGAAATATAATTAAGAAAAGAAATAAAAAATCTGTTATATAAAATTGTAAAAATAATTGAAATGAAAACTAATTCGAACGTTAAGCTCAAAATATCAAAATATATAAAATAATAAATTACTTGTCAATGTAAAATATGAGAATCGTTCAAAAGTTTTCATTTGGTAATAATTTATTTCAAAAATATTAACACAAAAATATGAAAATTCAAATGTACAATATATGTTTCTAATAATCTTCAAATATCAATATCGATTTCAAATAGTACATACCTATAGCTGTGAATGGATGAAGCGCGCCAAACCATGCAAGTTAAACGTTATTCTCACTTCGCTAATCATCTTGATACACAATAAAAATTTACACTTTATCTCCACTTACTTTCTAGATACTTCTAAACTATTCTTAAATATTAATTAAAACCTTTTACACAGAAAACAGAATAAATATTTCAATTTACTTCGTACACACCGCGTTTACAGACGCCATTTTGGTAGCGAACTGCAACTTGCGCCATCTGCCGGAACAAATTATAATTTCATATATTGCGCGGAAAATTCAAATATAAACTAAAATAATAACCTTATTATTTTTGTCATTCTTCACAAAATAAAGATTAATATTCACTCCATCCTTATTTTCGATATTTATTTTAAATTGAATCTTTTTATTCTAGATAACGGATACATATCCGTATAATATACATTTATGCTACTATGTTATGAAATGAGAAGTTAAATTTATACTTCTAAAATATTATTAAAATGAAATGAAGATTTTCATTTTATTCGAAAGTTTAAACGACTTAAATATTAAGTTATTTATATATTATCATAAAGAGTTTAAATTAGATGAAAATGAATAAGATTATATTTTATTGACATCAATTAAATCTAATTGAAAGATCTAATAAAATTATCATTTTGTAAACTATTTTTTATATCATTAATTATTTTTAATTCTATTTTTTAACAGTTTATAAAATCACAAAAATACACAGAATAAATATTTTTTAAAATCTTGTCTATTGCATTGGAAGTATTGTGAACCGACATTGAACTTTGAGGATATTTAAAATATGTATCTTGTATTTTACCATACCAGTCATTGTTTAATAGTTAAATTCCATTATTTCTTCAACTGACGTAATTATAATTGTGCATAGTCTGTACATCCCATTGCCTGAAAAAAAATCTTACTATCTCATAGATTTTAACATAAACTAACAAAGGAAGCAAATTAAATTAAACATGCAAATCAAAATTTGATGCTTTTGTCACTAAATTAAAACTGTTTTATCTATGCTTTAATAAATATTAATGCAATTTCCAAAAACAAAAAGTAAAAGCTTTAATCTATATACCTTGAGATAACATATATAAATAAATAAAATTAATAATTTTTTATAAATGTAAAGTTATTTCATCACTTCATATGATAAAGTATTTTTTAAACTAATAAATTAAAGTTATTTCATAATAATGAAATTATACTCACATGATTTTAAGGCACTTCAAACTCCGCTGAATAGAGAAACAGGAGATTAAAATATTTCAATCCATGAAAACTTGTTCCCATACAATCTTCTGTATTCCTCTATACACCTAAGAAGGATACATGAAAAAAATATGTTAGAAGTAAATGTTTTAAATACTTTAAAATGAAACTTCAATCAGATTAAATTAAAAATATGTGTAATAATAGATTAACACTGTTATTCTGTATTTTTTCACAAATTTATTACTAATAAAACTGTAAATAATTTGCAAATTTTTTAAGTTTAATACAAATTAACACGTGTTTAATATTTAGCAAATATAATAAATATTTTAAATTTTATTGTTGCTTATATTATATTAACGTAATTAAGACACATTCAAACATTTAAGGAAAATTAAATGTAGTTTATTATATTTTTTTGACAAGATTTCTTAACATTAATTAACATTCCATGGTTGGTTTAAAACAAACACATTAAATAAAAATTACTAGTATATCGATGAATAGATATTTTTATGAATTTCTGAATATATTAATATTATGTATTAGGTCTAAAAACATTTCATTATTTTTGTCCATGTTATAATGCTATTGATTAGGATTTTGATTTAAAGCTTTTCAAATGCTTATTATATAGCGCTATTATATTTCTTATTTATTTCAGTTTAAGAGAATTACATACATATGTAAATATATAGCAGAAAACAGATAATTATTTTAAAAACGGGAAAATGTTTATAAGTTATGGACAAGTTATTTTATCATTTTTTTTTTTTTTTTTTTTTTTGTATTCTTATATTATAAGATCTTAAGATTACAATTTTCTTTTTTTTTAATATAATATTATAACTATTGAATCTTTATAAGCTGTACGATTTTTCACTTCACATATTTTGCACATGTTACTATACACGTACTCTTTAACATTTATTTATGCCATTTTAAATTCTCAACACGTTATTTTTATTATTATTCTGTTTTTTTATTCACGTAAATACTATACATATTAATATTAAATGAATTACGATATAATTCGCATCACTATATGCAACTTATTTAATATTAATTTATATGTGATCATCTGCCATTGGATGTCATTTACAATATTTTATTTTCTATTTTAGATACATATTACTAATTTATTATAACGCACACGACTGTCTGAGCTATGTATTTTTCAATATTTAGAAAACTTGACATATTAAAACCAAAGAATAGATATCTATCTAAAGGAAAAATGAAATAAAAAAGAAAGAAAAAAAAAAAATATATATATATATATAAAAGTTAAAAATTCTCAAAGATATTTACAAATCTTTCATTTACGTACATAGTACGTAATTTATAGTTTCATATTGACTTTATTATATGCAATTATCTATTTAAAAAAAAGAAAAAAAAAAATTAAGATTTCGCGTATGAAATGAATCGATATAAAAAAAGATAAATTTGATTTCTAGAAAAATGTAACACAGCTCCGACGCTTTTTTTTTTTTTTTTTTTATTTAAGAATTTTACTTGTCTCGTTCCACTGATCCTCTTGGTCCTCTAGCCTTCCACTCTGACGTGACATTTTTTTTTCAGGAGGGGAAAGGATTTGAAGGAACGTATGATTTTATCTCTTTTTCTAATACTTTCATAGAAAATCAAAGATTATGATGGAAATCGATTCAGAATTTCTACGGAGTTAATATTACATATGAACATTCGAGATATAAATTCTATCGAAATCGCGGAAACGCTTTGATTAAAGTTTTCATAATTACATGTCTTGGTGTTTATTCAATAGCTACAAGTAATTGATTAAAAATTACATTAGCTTCGTTACACCATTGACTCGGAAAATTGTATATAATGGAAATAAAAAGAACAAGCAAAAAATCCGCAAGCGTCAAAGTATCTTTCATTGAGGAGAATAACGAGAATCTTATTCCAAAAGAAAAAAATACCGGTCAATCGGAAGTTTTCTTTTAAGCAAAACTTCGAGGAATCGAATTTGTAATGGCAGTTACGTTATATCTGTTTTGTTTTATCATTACTACATGGTAAAAAATCATAGTATCATTTACCACAATCACTTCTTGCGTCTGATTTCATTTAAAAAATGATTTTAGTTTTTTTTTTTTATATAGGTTTGACATCTCTGGCACCAAGTTATTGTTTGTTACGAAAATTATATGTCAACAGTTTAGGATTATGAGAAACAATAAAGTTAGAAAAAGGAAAGATCGTTGTTTCGCTTTATAATGCAGGAATTATTTGGATGTGATAAAAATTAAGAAAATATTTGGGTGGTTTTTTTTTTTTTATATGGATTTTTACTTGGAAGGTCGTGAATACGGGGCGTTGCGGTAGCGCGAGCTTGAGCCCGATGTCGTTGTCGTCTTGTACGATTTCCATGCGCGGCTCGATGATTCCTCTGCGAATTTTATGGAGTTATTCATTTGCATTATTTTTATTAAATTAGTGCACCACCACGATATAGTATATATATATATATTAATCGGATAATTTCCTAAGTATATACTACACGAAGCGAGAGCATTATATTATTTATAAAGTTTTAAGAAGAAAATTATTGCGAATCAGAATTGATAAATAATTTAGCTAATATCACGTTATTATGCAAAGCCATTCCATATTTATTTAGTATAGGATATTATAGGGAAATCTTTAAATTCGATGTGGAAAAAGATATTTCAATTTTAAATAGTTGGTAGAAATTATTTTCAATTAAGAATATTAATTTTTATTCGCGTATTATTTTATGTAGAAATATAAAATTTCTAGATTTTTTGTGAAAAAAATCGATCTTAATATTTCTATTAAATCATTTAAATTTTAATATAAATATAAAATTGTTATATATTATTCAGAATTACAAGAATTAGTTATTATAACTAGAAATCATATTATTGATGTTTTTTAGAATTCTGATAATATTTAAATTTCTGTTTAAAGCTTTTTATATTAACATAGCTTATTAAACCAATTTTATTAAATATTTCATGCTTTGACTTTTTTTATCAACTCTTTATATTTAATTCAAATTCAAATTTAATATTTATAGATAATAGTTCAGTAAGAATTTGTCTATATATAATTTAAATCTAAAATATTTTAACTTTAATCTTATTATGTTATCCTCTGTATATCACACATGCGTTTATGATACATATGTTTATGATAATTTTTATTTATTTATATGTTAAAATTTTATGTTAAAAAAAATGTGAAATGAGAATTATATTACCTGGATATTCTGATGTTTCGTAGTAATTGTGAGAAGAATGTGGCACAGTATCATCTTCGTATTCGTAAGTTGCGTACCTCGAGGAAGGATACATATCATCTCTAAATGATATATAAAAATACAATGTAAAATGAAAAGCTACGTTATTCTGTTTTACAAATTAAAAAAAATTTTTTTAAAAATTAGAAATTAAAAAAAAAATGTTAATCAAAAAAAATCAATTACGAAAATAAATATGAAATAATTGAATATTAATACGCCTTAAATATAATTATAATGTTATGTATAAAAATATAATATATAGATATGGAAAATCAAAATAAGTAATAGATAAGAATGGATTGTCAATAAATATATCAATAAATAATTCTTTTTGATAAAAATATCGACTATACTTACCCTGACGTTGATGTATAATGTCGATCTCCATATCGGCTACTACTGCTCGTTGATGTGTGATAATCATAATCATGATGAGTTCCAACACGGTTACTTGGAGGCGGAGTAGCAGTTTCATAACTATTCACAATACAATGTTATAAATTCAATACAATATTTTTTATATGATTAATTAAAAACTCACCCATAACTCTGATCCATGGCGACTCTTGCACGATCTAAAATAGAAAAAACTTTACTTTTTGCTGATACAGGACGTGTAATTGGTCCCCGGCTAGAAGGCGGTGGAAGTATTGCCGCTAAAATAAAAAAAAATAAGAACCTTCTTTTCTTTTTTAAAAGCCTAATAATTGGAAAAAATATTGCCAACCTCGCGAAGATCGTTGCATTGTTGGTCTTGTGGATGGTCTTAATATTCCACCAGCACCTGGTACACCTCTGACAGAAGGCCTTCTATCGTCATTACTCGTTGGATCATCTGCCATATTCATTTCCATTTCGCGCATTTGCTCTTGACGTATATTGTCATTATTATCTGGGATCAAATATTTCCGAACTTCGGCTAACGCAAATGCAATACGAGCATAAGCTTCCGCCGGAGGTGCGAGTGCTGTTATTTCAACATGTAAATCATCCGAAAGATGAGCATATTTCGGATCCAGAGACATACGATATTCTTCTTCCTATATCATAGAATAAATATACAAAAAATTCTATGTATTTATGTGCATTATTATGCACATTACATATTTATCAATATAAGTTAAAAGTAATATAATAAATATAAAATTAATTACTTTATTAAAAATAATTAAATAAGTAGAGGAACATAAAGTGGAGATATGAATAAAAAACCTAAATCAAATAAAAATTACAAATTCTTAACATAAAATTACTTTTTGACGATCTTTCATGGATCCTCTTCCTAATACTGCCATTTTACACATTGTTTCTTCTTGCAAACGTTTCATAGAATTACCTTTCGGTCCCAATAATTTTCCAACAAAATTAAACTGCAAATAGTTCAAAATATTTCAACGTATAAATTTATATTTATCTGTATATTCATCTAAATTATTTAATTTATAACAAAACACAACTACCTTTGGATGTTCCCGAACGGGCACCAATACTTTAACCGAAACTCGAATTGGTTTTTCACGATAAATATCCACATATTTCGGATCCCTTACTGGTTTGCCAATAGCTTGAGTTTTTTGAATTTCTACAGAATAAAATAATCATTTTTAAATTTTTCATATATTAATATGTGATATTAATTTAGTATTTATAATTATAATATTTTATAATATAAATTATACTTTTTATTTTATCATAACTAATAAATTAATTATAAAATAATATTTATTTATAAAAAATTAAATTACAAATTAAATTTTAAAAAAATTGAAAATCATAATAACAATTATTTAAATATTAATAATTATAGTAATATTATAATATAATTTATAAAATTATAATATACATTTAAAATATTAATGAATTTTTTATATATTTTTATATACATATTATATATATACATATAAATATTAAAGCAATATTAAAACAATATAAAAATACATAAAGATATAATAACTTAACATATAATGGTTTAATATTAAATTTAAATTAACATTAATATTTATTATTTAAATTAAATATATTCTATTTTGAAAAATTCATATATTACAAAAAATTATATTATTTATTTTAATATAAACTATTTTAATAAAATAATTAATAACTATTTTATTAATCTATTTTATAATTAGCAACTATTATTAAATATTTTGTATTTATAAATATTACACAACTAATAATATAAATTTCTAAAATGATTAATCTAATAATGCATAAATTAATAATATAGTACAAATAGGTAATAGAAAAAATTTAAAAAAAAATTAATTAAATTATAATTCGTTTTCGTTTACATATTAGTCTAACCTTAACCATCAATCAATTTGATTTCAAAGCAAAAAAAAAACTGCGCAACAAGAAGTTATATCAACAAATCACAAAAATAAATATACAAGCAACAAACGAAACATAAACAGTCGCATTACAAATAATAAAAATGATTAAAAAACAATGAATAAAAACAATAATATAACAGTCATATTTACCTTGATCAATTAGTCTCGTTGCATTAGGCCATTTCTGCGAATCCAATTCAACTTTTTCTTGTAAAAGTTCTCGAACATATTCTCCGGCTTTGTCAACTTGATACTTCTTTTCATCACGTTCCTTTTCCGACGATGTTTTTGCCTCCGAATCAGAGTTTTCATCCCTTTTATACTTAAATTCACCATTACTTGGTCGATCGCTCATGATTATCACTATTTTATTAGATGGTTCTAACGATATCAAACGAAAAAATAATAATTCTATTAATTAAATAATTAAATGGAATAAATCATTCGCGCACAACGCGTCTTTGGAACAGAGTTGCAATTTGCAATGGCTGAACGCTGACTCTTCCACTTCCAACTAACCTTAAGGCGTATATGCATGTGTAAATTATTTATATATCTATATCTATATTATAAATTTAAATATTTTTATAATAAATCACAATTTTTTATTTTATTAAAAAATATTTTTAGAAAATATTTATAATGAAAAAAAATTTATCATTTATTATATAAATTAAAGTATATGTATGTATAAATATATGACTATAAAAAAATAAAATTTAATAGTTATTAAAAATAAATATAGAAAATAATTTGTAATCATATTAAAAATATTGTTATTTTAATTAAAAATATATAATATTAATTAAAAAATAACAAATAATGCATTATATATTTATTTGTGTTATAATGATAGTTATGGCTTAAAACAATTAAGGTTATTTTTAAAATTGTTTATACTTTTCTTATTATATAATAACTTAATATTGAAAATTCTAGTATTTCTATATATTTTTGTATATTAAAAAAAAATGTTTAATGTTGATCAGATTTAAGTATAGATACTATCGGTATTTGTATTAGCTGCAGATGGCGAAAATATCGAAAATATTATAACCTCGTAATATATTATATTGAATTTCTTTATTAATTATGTATAAAAGTATAAATAGAATAAAATAAATAAATATTTTTCAACATGAGTCATATTATAGTAATACGAAGCTATAAACCAGGCGATGAAATTAATTGTAAAGAATTAGTGAAGGCAGGTGTGATGTCTTCTTTAAATTCAACATTTTTTGGAATTGTACTTAAAGAATTGACTTTTCAATTAATGATATTGTTTGCTGCTATAATGTTTATTTTCTTTGGATTACCTTTAACAGTTTGCCTTTTAGTTATTCCTCTTGTCATTTTTTTTGTGTATGTTGGAACTTACATAGGTTTCACTGCGAAAGCTATGGAAGTTAATGAAGAAGTTTCTAATATACCAAGGTAAAAATTTTTTGTATTTATTTATTTTTTTTTGTGATAATGTTATTATAATTAAGTTAAAAATTGAAAATTAAAAATATATATATTGTTATAATTAAAAATCTTATAATTAAAATATGTTTAAAAAAATAGCATGTAAAAGTTTGACCACAGAAACAAACTTCAAATGAAAATAAATTTTAATGTAAAAACTTCTTCATTTAATTATAACAGGATTTACATGTCTAATGCCTTTTCATGCTTTTGGATTGCTGAAGCATTTGAACCTTATTTAATGACTCATTCTGCAAAGAATATACATTATACTATAATGACAGAACAACAGTTCCGTAATTCAAACATTGATATTTCATCTCAAGTTAAGAAGATTGTAGGAACTGTTGCCTTATGTAAAAGTCATAGATTAGATAAAGGTGCATGGATTAAAAGATTATATGTACATCAGCAATATAGAAGAAAAGGAATAGCTTCGTGCCTTATAAATGTTGCAGTGCAGTTTGCTATTGATGAAGGGTATAGTTGTGCTAATGTTGTTGCTTCAGAATATACAGAAGGAGGAAGAGAACTATGTCTTAAAAAAGGTTTTGAATTACAACAAATGTATCATAAACCCATTTTGGGTTCATTTATAACTATATTGATGTATGAATTGACATATCAAATTAAACCTGGTGAAGATGATTATGTGCCTACTATTTACACTAGATCAATGCTTAATAAATAAGCATTAAATTTAATATTTTTTTAAATACAGGATTAAATTTTTATAAATTTCATAAGTCTGACTCTGTATTTTCCAAAAAAAAATTACATTTATAGTTTATTCTATAAAAATATTTCTATAAAAATATTATATAATAAATGTAATACTTTATATTGTATTACATATATTCTAAATTAAGATAGATTACATAATAATAATTTAAAATATTATTAAATATGACAATATTATGTTTATCATTGTATATAATATAAAAAAATATATTTTTCCTATTTTTTCATATATTCCCAATACATCTGAAGTTCTTTGTTTTCCCAGTGTTTCTCTGTTATTTTGCATAAATATCTGAAAAGAAAAGAATCATTTTATGTATTTTTAATTATGAAAAAGTTACAATTTTTATTTTGAATGAATTTTTTAATTTTACATAGATCTGTTTGATATATTATTAGTTAATCATCTTATTATTTCTTTAAGAAAAATTATTTTAATTGTCATTTCACATAAAAATTTTATTAAGAAAATCTGGAGACTTATATCATAAAAATGTATAGCTAGGATATAATCTTATGTCACACATTAAAAGTCTTTGATTGACAAGAACTATTGGCATATAAAACATAATATTTATTTTCTTAAATAAAGTAAAATTATAATTCATAAAAAATATTAATCTATAATCTATAAAAAAAAATTTTTAAAAATATATATAATGTTCATAAAAAAATAGGGCAAGAAAAATTCTATTCTTCATTTCATTATGTATATTTATATAATTTAAGATAATAAACATAAAATTTATATATATTGTCATATTAGAATAAATCATTCATAAAATAATATTAATTAATTTTATATAATTTTATATAATTTTATATATTTTATAAAATATATCAAAATATATTACTACTGTATTATTCAAAATGACATATCGTAAGAAAAAATTTTGTCTATAAGATTTATATATATGACATTTGTTTTCATAAGTTTGGATATAATGAAAAGATTTATAAAATAAATATAATAAAATAAATAAAAATATATGTATTATTATATGTATATTAATAATATAATTTTATAGAGTAATTTATTTTTTAATCTGTATAAAGAAATATAAAATAACAAGAAATTGTTTTTAAAATGTATCTATTAAAAATTAAATATTATTTATTTTAATAATAAACTTACTTTTTCTGTATTTCTTGAAGTAAACTTTTCTCCCTTTTTGTAATACTATTTTTTAATACATCAATATTCATATACAATTCCTTTAAATTTTGAATTCCAACTAAACATGTATCAATATCTTTGCATTGCATAGAATACCATAATGCTAATTTAGCTAATTCTGTATCATAATCCTACAAATTTTAATTTTTACTATATGCATTATAAAAAAAGAATTTCTGAAAAATATTTATTGCATAAAAATTTAAAACTTATATACCTTGCAATATGTAGCAGCATCTGCGCATATTTTTTTTGTCTCTTCTGAACTAGGATGCCAAATTGGTGGACCTTTATTTGTTAAAAGCCCCATACATGGTGCAGAAGCATTAATTATACCAATATTGTGTGCCTAAAATTTATTTAAAATTTTTAATTTATTTAAAATTTAAAATTTATTTAAAATTTAAGCTATTAAAAAATATAACATTCAGAACTATTAATTAAGAATAATTACGAAATTTTACCTTGAAAAATGGGATATATTCAGATAAAGTATCATCTATTAAAGTATATCTGCAATAGCTTAATATGCAAGAAATATTAATATTGCTTTTCTCGATACATTTTTTTAAAATGGATATCGGATATCCGGTGATACCAATATATTTTGCTTTACCGTCCGCAACTTGTAATGATAATTCTGGCAAAGTTTGCGTAATTACTATATCTAAATTTGGATCAAATTCAATATCGTGAACCTGCAAAATATTTACTAATTAATGAATAAAATAAATAAAAACTAAATATATTGATTGATAAAAAATCAAAAACACTTACTTGTATGACGTCAACATAATTCAAACCAAGAAGTTCTAAACTTTTGTTAAAACTTTTTCTAGTTTTCTCTTTAGAGAAATTAAACATATTTTCGTAATCTAATTCATATCTTCCGACTTTTGTGGCAATATAATATGCTTCACGCGGAATATCTTTTAAAGCCTAAAATTCCAATATTTAAATATTAAATAAATGGAACAAAAATATATTTTTAATATGTACAAAAAAAAATGAAATTACTTTTCCAATGATAGTTTCAGAACGACCTTGGCCATACCATGGTGCAGTATCAATGTAATTAATTCCCCGTTTTATTCCTTCACGTATCGCTTCAATTGCTTTGGCTTCATCGAATGTACTATCGCAAAATAAAAAGATTGATAAAAATCATGAATATTAAAAGAATCTTTAATAATTTATTTTTGAATTTTTAAATTTCTTTAAAAATGTTAAATTTTTAAGAATTTTTATAAATGTTAAAAAAATTGCATACTATTTTGTTAATATGACAATTAAAAAAAAAAAGAAAAAAATACTAACCCGTAATGGCAACCAAGTGGTCCGCCACCAAATGATAATTTGCTGATCATTAATCCGGTTTTGCCAAGTTTTCTATATTCCATAGTTTTCACAGCTTCTAAATCATGAAAACCTTCAACATATGTCGCTGGTAACATTTTTCTAAATATCAATAATGAAACTAATTAAAATTATAATAATCTTTACTTGAAATATCTATTTATGCAAAAAAAATTATATTGTATTGTATATAAAATTATATTATATTGTATACTCAATTATATTGTATTATGAAAAATATTTTAGTTAAGATATTTTATAAATTTAATTGAAATTTATAATGAAAAGAAAGAGTGAAATTTGTATTATATTTTAATTAAAGAATTTAGTAAAAAATAAAATGTATAAATTAATGATAAAATATTGAATAGATAAAATTATAAATATATATATCTTTATGACATTCATTTGAGATAATAAAAATAAAATGAAATTGATATCAAAAATAAAACAAAATTGATATTAATAAAAGACACCATTGTCTTTTATAAAGCAATTTATTTTATCATAAATACATTAATTTACATTTTTCATTCAAATAATTTAAATAAATCAATCTTATAAAAATATTTTACTATTCATTTAATTATAATTTTCATTTATACATTTACAAAAAATATTGCATTTTTATAAAAAAATAATATTATTTTAAAAAGAAGATCAATTTAATATTTTTCAAATTTTTATCATACTTTATTCTTTTATCGTATTGAAACAAAAATTTCTGTAATTG